CTGGACCATTTGAAGCCTCCGGGTGCTCCTTTGAGGGAGCCCCATGTAGAGAGCATTACAGTAGTCCAGGCGGGAGGTGACAAGAGCATGAGTGACTGTGCGTAAGGCGTCCCGGTCCAGAAAAGGCCGCAACTGGTAAATCAGGCGAACCTGATAAAACGCCCCCCTGGTCACGGCCGACAGATGGTCATCCAAAGATCAACTACGGACTTTTATCTGAAAAAGACTAAAGAGGTAAAGAGTCCTTCTAACCCTCAGAGCAAAACGTAGTTCTCCAGCATCCTTTCTACAGGCCAGCTGGACAAGGGAAGGTGCCGGAATGTCTTTCAAACCTACTTTTGGCAGCTTCCAAGTCCCAGATCCGAATGGAGCCTGACTGAGATCCTGCAACAATGAGCTCTTCATTTGTATTAATCTTCACACTCTCCACTGGCGTTGTGTGACCGGTTAGACTCTGATCAAGATAAAAAAAAACAAGAGTCAGCCAACTGAAGGGAGGAGTACCAGCCACAATTACATTGGTCATGAAACAAAGATCTGAGCAGTAGCATAAAGATTTTTGTGATAGGCTTTGGGGAGTAGGGAGATTTTTCAGTGGCCTCCAGACCAGCCTAAGAAACCTTGGAGATTTGTGCTGTAAAAGTGAGATTGGGAACTCACCACCCTAGCCTCAGTCTGAAGCTGAAATATCAGCAAGCCAAGCTCATCCTGCATTGACTGTGTTCAGATTGCCAGGTATAAAGAAGGCTTACAAGCTTACAAGCTGCTTAACAACTTCCTTCTGTTTGTGATGCAATATAACTTTCTTAGATGAAACTTCAACTGGTTTGCAGGGTTTAGAGTTATGGTTTGCTAAGAAAGCCACCGTGGCTGGGTGATTGTAATCACAGCCTTTGTAGTATTAAAATTAAAAACTGTCAATAATTTTCCTTAAGTAAATACTGGACTGAAAAATACCATTAGCCAGAAACATTCTGCCAGCATTTAATGCTACCCAAATATATTTTTTACGTTTGTGTAGAAGTATGTTGCTCGGTTTGCATTTACGGCATGTTAACCTTGGAAAAGCCAAGAAGGCCTGTGCCTAAAGGAACAAGTGCTGTTATGAACAAGAAGCACACGGCATTTTACCAAGCCAAACACATGTAAAAACACGGAGCATCAATTAACACCCAAGAAAAGGCAGCACCTCCTTCTTGGATTTACTACCGAACTCTCCCACCTAAGGTGGCATTCCAAGGTTCCCAAGAGAACCTGAGACTGATCAGATGCAGAACTGCTTAGTTTCAACATGGCTTCTGCCCAAAATGGAGTCAGGCTTTAAATTTCTGCAGGACACGGGCCCAGGCAGGGAAGCCGGCATCCCTGGCATGGGGATCACTCAGGTCAATATCTCCCCCAGGCTGCTTTCCTTTGGATACCACAGAGACGAAGAAAAGGAGGATCAGGCTGTTAAAGACAAGTAGAGAACTTCTTTTCCCTGGCTCATCTCTGCTATTATCATAAAGTAGTTAACCAAATCTCACCATAATGCAGTTGGGCTTGTTAACGGACCAAATATTAACTCGACAATCATCTCCACCAGTTGCCAGGAGCCGGCCTGAGCTTTTGCCCAAGACGAGGGAAGAAACATTGCTGCTGTGGGCAATGATCTCCTCTACATAAAAAAAGCAAGTGAAAGTTGTTATTATTAGCTTATTTCATTAGTTCATCTCTCTCCCCGACCATCACGCATAAAGGAGGCGGTTAGTGATCATGTTTACTTAAGATTAGTTTACCTGCAGACTTTATACGTGTTTACAGTTAAACAAAATATTGCAGCGCATTTCCTTGAGATTAACTCTCTCTGCCCGGCTGCTGGGGGCTCCCCGGCCGCCAGCCGGCCTCCCCCTCAGCCCCGAGCAGGGAAGGAGCCATTCCGGCCTCCCGCTCCCCTCGCCCGGCTGTCTCCCGGAAGGAGGCGACCCCGCAGGTCCCCGGCCAGGCGAAGCGGGGAAGCGGCCGCGGGGAACGGGCGGCAGAGACAGGCCGCCCCCGCCCAAGAGGCAGCTCTACTCACGCAGCTTCCAGGCCGTCTTGGTGGCCACGGCTGCCGCCATGGCCGCTGCCCCGTCCCGACCGCGGCCTTCTCCGGCGGCGCGGGGGCCGAGCCCCCCAGGTCCCCGGCTCCGGCTTCCGAGGGAGCTGCGGCAGCTTCGCTAGCGGGGAAACATCCGCGGCGGCGCCTCGGCCTCCCTTCCGGCGCGCGGAGGCCGCTCTGCGAGGAGGAGGAGGAGGAGGCGGCGGCGATCAGCTGGGAGGGCAGCCCGGTAACCCCAGCTCAGCCTCGGGGCCGCCGCTCGAAGCCCCGCCGAGGAAAGGCCCCGGCGCCTCTCAGGACGATCCCTCCCGGGGGGCGGGCAGCCTTCCTTCCGTGGCTGCGGCTGCGGCTGCGAGCGCGGCAGAAACCCGCGCCGAGCCCACCAGCCCGCGGGATGCGGCGGCCTGGCCGGGCCCCCGGGGGGCGATGGCGGCGCCCGCCCTCGTCTCGGGCCGCCTCTGACCCCTGGTGGCGCGGCAGCAGCGGAGGGCCGAGAGCGGGGGAGCCGCGGCTGAAGACCCACCTGCGGAGTCGCGGCGCTTCGGAGGGGAACGGCTCCAGGCGCCCTCTGCCCATCCCGCGCCCCGATTGGCCGCTGCCTGGCAACCGGCGCCCCGGCAACGGACCGCGCCCGAGTGCCCCCTCCCCGGCAGGGCTACCTGGCTGTCTCTTTGGCTTGTCGGCTCGCCAATCGATGCGAGGTCCGCCTTTCCCGGAGACGTCGACCAATCGCTACGAGACTGAAGAGCGCGAGAAGGGCCGGGACTCCCGCAGACTTAAGAAAAGCAGAGTCGCCAAGGCGCAGCGTTGCTTTGGCGAAGGGGCGGGGCTGTAGACGGAAGAGCCTCGAGTGGGTGGGGCTTGAGCGAAAGCCTCCGGTTTCTGCAGGCGAGGCGTCCCCCTGGCTGATTGCTCTCGCCGGTAGCAAATTCCTCCTTAGCTCCAGGTTGCTTCTCTCCTTGTTTAGTCCGAGGCACCTCTCGGCCAGCCGGCGCCCAGCGGCCGACCTGACGTTTTCAACCATCGCGCCAGCCCGCGAGGGCGACTCAGTGGCGCGAATGAAGCTCCGCGCGTTTACCCGGAAGCCAGCAATCCAATCTGAGTGAGCCTTTCTGCAGTACCGCTTGTCTCTAGCGCCCGTGGGGGAGGGGCCTCCTGCGCGGGAGCCGCAGGGCGCAGCCAATGGTTGCTCAGCGGGGAGTCCCGGCAGGCTTTGCGGCCTGATCTGGAAGTGGGCTTTCCGGCCGCGCCATGTCGGTGGTTTTCGTCCCCGAGCGCCTGCGCGGCAAAGCCGAGGTGAACCAAGAGACGCTGCGACGGGTGAGCGGCGGGGCGGGCGGGGGGGTCTCTGTGGGGGGCGGTTTGGCCGGCGGAGAAAGGGCGGATCCCCCCGATGGCGAGCCCGGCTTGAGCCCCGCCACGGGCCCTGTCAGGCGAGCGACGGGGCGGGCGCGAAGGCCGGGGGCGGAGGAGGCCGTGCTGGAGGGAAGGGGCCAGCCGTCTCCTGGGCCTCCGCCGGGTATGGTTTGCGGGTAACGTTCCCTGTTGTGGCTTTCAGCTGCTGGAGGAAAACGACCAGCTGATCCGCTGCATCGTGGAGTACCAGAACAAGGGAAGAGCCGCGGAGTGTGTGCAGTGAGTGGCCCTTTCGTGCTGGCCGAAGGAGCCGTTGCTAGACGTGCATTTAAACCCCATCCCTGCCTCGGGCTGGAGCTCGGCTCATCCTGACTGATGAGCTAGCTGGAGCCCCATCCTTTCGGGGGAACAAAAGGCCTGGGTGCCGTCCTCCCTGGAAGCCGCTTTTGCTCATTGAAATCTATTTTGCATGAAAGGTTTGATAAGCTCAAAGGCGGGGCTGCTGCGTTGTTTCCTTTTGGGGAGAGGGACTCTCAGGCTTACTGTGAAGGCCAGAATCTGAATGGGATGCTGGGAAATGACAGCTATATCCCCAAATCATTAATCTATGGGGCATTGTGAGATTTTAAGCATTGTCAACAAGGGTTTTTAATACCTTCGAATACCTGTTGGTGGACTCTGCAGATGGCACTCAGTTCTATCTTTTAATCTACTCACCCCAGTAAAGGTGTGGAACTCTTAGCTGGATGAGAATAAACAAACTGGAATTTAATTGGACAACGTGCAGTTAGTAAAAGATTTTCAAGTGGAGGTTAGTAATTAAGTCTAGACTGGCTTACATTGTCCTGGAATTGGAAAACCAAAGTAGGAGGTGATTAGATGTATGAATAAGCAGCTTAGTGTAATACATCAACTGCAATCCTATGAATACAGGGTGGAGCTCGCTTTAGTGAGAAGACCCCAGAAGTCTTTGGCAACTATTGAGAAATCAGAACAGCAAATTCTGAAAATTCAATTACTGCTTTGTTGTAATGAATTTTCACCATTTCATTCTTTGTTTTTCTTCCTACAGGCACCAGCACACATTGCACAGAAATCTTATTTATTTGGCTACTATTGCTGATGCATCTCCTTCCCCAAACATAGAGAAGACGACCATAGAGTGAAATCTTTCCCAGCACGTCTGTATTTAGAGAATGAATCAGCGGACAAAGAGACGACCAACTGCATTTGAAGAATCTCTAACTGAAAACTACAGAACTCTGCTTCCTCTAAAAGAGGATGTGCCTTTGCATGATCAGTAAATACTGTTTTATTTCTCTCCTTATGCAGAGAAAATGCCATTGAAGTCGGTTACAGTAACATTTCACTACGGGAAGTCTTGGGGGGGGGGTCATAGTTTTCACAAGCAGATTTTCCCCCCAGATTTCTTCATTTTCTCTTATGCTAAAAATGCTAAGCTTTGATTATAGAGTATAATTTATTTAAAAAATCCTGGAATTGTCCTAAGTCCTTATGTATTTGGCAGTCGAAAAATGTAAATGAGTTTTCAAGTGAAACTGGGATTGATGCTACGGCATCAGCAGAGGAACTAGCTGTGCCGGTGAGGCACTCGCTGAGGGAGCTGCTTCCGGTAACGGAGCCAGGGAAACGGGCCAGGTTGGGGGGGGGGAGCTGCCAGTGCTGCTGCCACGAGGTGAAGCCGGTGGGGGAAGGGGGATCGGATCCACGCACCGCAGCCCCTCACGCCGCCCCACGGCACAATGCATCCCCATGATGCAGGCGTGCTGAAATCCTATACCATTCTGGACAAATGGTCCAATATCTTCTTAAAACCCTCCAGTGTTGGAACCACCACAGCTTCTGAAGGCAAGCCGTTCCACTGGTTAATTGTTCTGTCAGGAAATTTCTCCTTAGTTCTAGGAGGTCTTAGTTCTCCTTTTGGTCTCTCTTCCGGCTAATGTTGAAGTAGAACTTAAATGCAAGTGAGGTTGCCCTGTAGATATAGTTTGGAATTCACAAATGTATTAAAATGTATTAAATTATTGTAAAATTATAAAGGTATTAAAAATTCCAAAATCTTTTTTTAAGTATTTCAATTAAGTAAACTATTATTTAGAGCAAATTCTTGAATTTGAGTTACCACATTGATGAGAAAAGTCAATTAAATCTGAATTTTTAGTGCATGATAGTACTGCATATTCATATCCTCTAATAAATGGCTTGTATGTACATGTGGATATATGTAAGTGAATATATGTGGCAGGACCCACAGCCTAAAAAAGGGCAGTGCAAGGAGAAAAAAAAATTATTTTATTAATTGAATGCAAACCTATTGATCAAAGTGTATTACCTGTAAAATAAGGCACTCCCTTTATTAAATTAGCATATTCCCATCTGCATGTAGCACCCATTCTTTCTCACACATAGAAAACAAATATGCACACAACACTTCCTCTTTCCAGTAGAAGCTGCCAGAAAGAGGGCAGAAAATAGGATGGAGATGGTGCAAGGCAAAATGACAGCTCCAGTGGGTAGAGAACTAAAAAGAACAGAAGGAAGAAAATTCGATTGAAAGAAAGCAAGGTAGTGGTAAGGAAGATAAGAAAAAGAGGCAAATAACAAATTCAAGCTAATTTTCAAGGACAGTTGCATTTTTCAGCAATGATTTTTGTAGCTTCCACCTATTTGCTTGTTTCCAATACTCATAAGACAGATATTCCTCTCCTCCCCCCAACTTTTTCTACTGAAGAAGAGACCTCTATGTTAAGCAATGTTCTAGCAAACTAGAAACTGCAGCTTGCTGACAGAACCCCTGGCAAGCCCTGTGCTATAAAGCCTTCACTAATAGAAAATTGTGAGCAGCATCCCACAATAATGCCTACATTTGCTAAACAATGGACTTCCAGGGCCCCCCACTGTGCTAGACTGGAGTTCAGCAGGACTGCAGAGCCATCTGCATATCCACAGATAAACTGCACAACGGTGTCTTCTTCAGACTCAAAGGACTACAGTATATATGTAGAAGGATTATCTTCCTGCTCTGGGTATGTGGCTCAGAGAAGCACTAACGGAAAAGGTGCGAGCCTGTGCTGCTTGTGTGTGTGGGGAGTTATATATATGGTGGGACACCTCGCCTGCAGACAAAGCCTGAACACCATGCAGGCATAGAACTCACTTGGTAATTGTCAGAGAATAACCTGTGGGCAGCATTGGCACCCTGGAGAGAAAATGAAGATGGGCTTTAAAGGACATGCCATTTGTGTCACTGCTTCTCTAGAGCGCAGTAACGTAATGTCAACAGAAGCACAGCCAGTAGAGACCTTGTGTGCCACAGAGAGTGGAATTGCCTTGAATGTGATCGGAGAATCCTGAATGGGTCCATGAAGGCCTGAAAGATCCTTTCCAACCAACAGCCCAGCCAATGATTTCCTACAAGGAAGCTAACTTTGCAGGAGGAACTTTTATGTGCTCCTAAGAGATTCAACAGGTGGGCAGAGCAGCCCTTTCAGGACCAAGCAGAAGACCCCGGAGTGCAGCTGGGTTCGCTGGCTGAGAACGTCCAGTGTGAAAGGTGGGATCTGCGGAGTTGCATCATTTTGGATATCAGGCTTTTCTTAATCAGTTGTGGTCTTCAGATGTATCAAGTGCCGTATCTGGGCTAGCAGAGTGAATTGAGGCTAGACACAGAAGACCCCTTGGAAGGTCTGATTTTCAGGGAATCCGTGGCTACCACTATAAAGATACTGTGATCCAGGTAGCAGGTAGCTTATAGTGGAAAGAGATCTACTGAAGGTTCTGACCCATGGGACGAGCCCCCTACTCCTGCCTTGGGGCAGTAGAATCAATTTTACTGTAGAATCAGTAGAGTAGGGGCTACCTCCCAACTTCCAATAAGAGGTAGTCTCTTACTCCCACCTTGGGCACCCCAAAATTGTTCCTGTCTGTTGAATAAGGAGGAGCCCAGCTAACCATTCTCTCCAGCCACAGCAGGAGAATAACTTTCAACATAATTGTACTCATTTTTTGGATATATCTTATTTTAACATGATATAACCTATTATTAAAGATATATCTTTAATAAAGCAAATAGGGTTGTTTTTACTTACAGGTGCTTCAACATTAAAAACAAAAGGTACAGTTCCAGTTCCAAAGCATTAGTTATTCACATAAGTACTGCATTAAAAGATAATCTGACTAAGCACCATGCCCCTTGCACATGGCTGGGTGAAACCTTGCTTGCCAATACTTGGGGAAATTATAGGTGTTCAGAATAACTGGAAGCAGTGGAGGATGCAGCACCTACCAGACAAAAAATGATTCACCTGCATTTCCACTATTTAACTTCAATTTTAGAAAATTGCCAATGTTTGCATTTGTCACTCAACTGCAGCAGCAGCAGCAGCTTAAATGCTCTACAGCAAATCTCAACACAACATATATCTGTACTTGAAAGCCTTGTGGCATACAACTGCAATCAATTTTAAGGTCCAATACAAGTTTTCAATTGTATACTTGAGACTCAAAATCACTTAAATTCACCAACATTTTAGCAGAAAGTACAGAACATTAACAATGTACAGACAGAAGCCACACTGATTGTGCAAAGCACATGACTGTAAAGTTATGCACAGCAAACAGTTCTGTAAACATGGTAAGGATGGGATTTCAGGAAACAAGATGACAATATCATAAATACAGGCAACATTGGCATCCTTAACCAGCACAAAAAGTAACATTTTAGGCCTGCCAAGATGGCCAAACGGCGCACAAGCAGAAGGTGGATGGGCTTTTATGCTATCCACCCCAACATTTAGTGTTTGTTTATATATATATATATATATATATATATAGTTATATATATATATATATATATATATAAAATTTGGTATCTTTAATATACACATGTACGTTTGTAGAAAATGGGAACTTAAATGTGCTTTTATCTTCATCAAAAACTATGTATTTATAACTAATAACCCATTTACTTGTCAATGTATTAGAATGATATGAATTAAGAAAATATAAAAATAATATTAATACTGTCAAAAACCTTTATACCAGAAAATATTGTGGTTTATAATTACTCTTTCAAAGATGAAATATGAAAATTTAAATAGGTTTTATAAAGACTTCTCTCACTTCAATTAATATACAATGGGATCACTATACATATTTACCTTTTTCCCATTTGAAGCACCAATCATTCCCCAGATCCACTTTGGTTGGAAGATATTTCTAATTCCACAGGTTCATTTATTTAATGGCACATATTGACTGAACGTAGTTTATTTTAATTCTTAGCACTACAAAAAAATAGTGTTTTAAGTTCTCTCTCTTCTGAGCCAGCTCATGTTTTTACACACTAAGTCTAGCACTGAAATAAGACTTATATTTGCAAGTAGTCTTAACTATTCTTTCATATATTTAAAAGCACTGTATGGATAATGCCTTTGGCCAAATGTAAAAGTATCAAATGTAGTGTCATAACTCCACCGAAAGGACTTTATGGAGGTGGAGGGTGTTCACTGATTGGCCAGATCACTTCACAGACCTTGAGCAGTTTCCAGCTGTTTTGCACAAACTAAATAACTGGAAAGAATTAGATTTTCAGTTGTTGTTTGCCCTACTCCTGTTTCAAAGAGTTTGTGCGGCATATTGACAACTGCTGCATTAAAAAAGCTACCACAGCTTGTGAAAATCAGAGTGAAGACTTTATAATTTTGTCAATTAGAAATCTGAAGAAAATGAGCATTGAGCAAAACTGCTAGATTGGCTTAAAAATACTCAAATCTGTTTTAGCAAGAAATGGTAACTATAAATCTATATGAAAAAATAGCTATAAAATACAGTGTTTTCTGTGGTAAGTAAGAGTGTCACCATTTGTTACCGGGGAGTCTATATGCTTTGAAAGGGTCACAGTTTAGAGTTGTTGTGTAGACACCGTGTGCCAAGTGCTGCAAGGAATGAGAGACTCACTACCAAAGCTGTCACCCCACATCACATCCAGCAGACAGAAACAAAGCAAGCCTGGATCATACCAAAGACTTTGGTCCTCGGCTGCTTCTCTGGCCAGGAGGAAACGGAGGCGCGTCAGTACTGCGGTAGGTAGGACGGCCGACGCTCATGCTTGCCCGGGAAAGACTTAAAGCCCTTGTGCCCCTGCTTGTGCTGAGACGGGGGCAATGGAGGCGACTGCTGAGGCTGCTGGCTGTAAGCAAACGGGGAGGCCATCCCTGCGGGCGGAGTGCAGTCGTTGGCGGCTGACCAAACGGGAGACGGCAGGATCTGCATGGGGTCGTTCCAGTGGCTGGCAGGGCTGCTTAGCTGATAGAAAGACATATTCTGGCCTGGCTGCGAATGCTGCCAAGGAGCCTTCGG